TTAGTGACATTTACAAATTAATAGGAAAAACAAAATGGCCGCCATGACGCCATGAGGTCAACTTCTGGTTTTCGGTAGGGGTAAAAGTTCAAAAGTGTTATTTTCAGTTACAAAGTTTGACAAACTTCTTCTCAAGTTCTGCAAAGCCTTTAGTCTTGATATGTCTGTTTAATTAGCTATCAAGTTTGGTAATATAAACGACCTTGACCCACTTTCAAGGTCACGGGTCAATTATGTAAAAATCGTTAAATGGTAATCTCTCCATTGTTAAGCTGCCCAAAGGCTTCAACTTTGGACATAGATATCCTGTGGACATTTCCGTTCGATTGATATAAGAGAAACGTACCTCAAAATTCAACTTCCGGTTTGCGGTAGGGGGTCAAAGTTGAAAAGTGCTATTAAGGGTTCCAATCTTTGAAAAACTTCTTTCAAGTTCTGAAACGCTCTATATTTCACCTATATGAAGCATATGTAACTGGCAACAAAGTTTAATAATATAAATGACCTTGACCCAATTTCAAGGTCACAGAGGTCAATTAACTAAAACTCGTTACATGGCAGTTTCTCACTTTCTAGAAGGCACACAATGATGAAAATTGATTATAAACCTTCTGTGGAGACTTCCTAGTGATTGTCATAAGAAAAACGTCCCTCAAAATGTCAACTTACAGTTTCCGAAAGGGGTCAAAGTTCAAATATACAAAATAGGGTACCAGTGTTCAACAATCTTCTTGTCAAGTTTCACAAGGTCTAGAGAACTAATACTGGGGATATATTGATCATCAGATGTTACATTATAAGGCTTGCAAATATGAATAACCTTGATCGACATTCAAGGTCACAGGGGTCAAATATGTTTAAACCTTTAAAAAGTGTATTTCTTCGTTATTATGTAGTTATATCTCCTTAACGTTTCAACATACAAAATTCATCTTTGGATATGTTGTAGAGACTAACAAACAAGGAATCTTTCTTCCGGTCAACTTGTCGCCAAAGAAGTGAAAAGCCCGCAAAATTGTTAGCAACAATTTCTAGTTTAATTTGGTATAGTCTTTTTCATGATACATAACTCCCATTTTCCATTTAAAGCAAACACAATGACAATTTTGAATGAGTTTCCTGTCATGATCTGTTGTCGAATCCTCTCCCCAATGTCCGTTGTTTTATCCATCCATTTTAGTGAACAAATACCTTTATCATTCAGAGATAGACATGACGAAATTCTGGGATGAACACCAGGAATTAATATAAATAACAATTTAGAGAGGTTTTCCACACAGATTAACATGTTAAGCCTTTCCATGTGCCTCCACCTTTATCCTGATCCGAAACTATTGATAACTTGACTGGATAGTGGGCGGAATGTCTACATCATCAATGGTTGCTAGGGACGTTTTGGTTGGTTAAGACAATGTGAGGAACCGTTTTGGACAACATTGTACAGGTCTTGGGCTTTTGTTGAAGTTAATTACAAAAAAAATTAGACTCATTATTTCCATCAAATGTGAGAATAGTAACAAATGAACATTATGTGTATTTCAGTTTCCTAAGTCGAATTTCATGGCTGTAACTGATCCTTATAATAAAAATACCAAACATCGTTATGAAACCAAATACATGAGGGATCCACTTTCTTACAAATGTAAATTGTGTATGTAGAATTCAACACATGACACCTACACATTGATGAATGGACTTGTATTTGTAGAATTCAACAGATGACACCTATACATTGATGAATGAAACTTGTATCTGTAGAATTCAACAGGTGACACCTACACATTGATGAATGGGCTTGTATCTGTAGAATTTAACATATGACACATATACATTGATAAATGAACTTGTATTTGTAGAATTCAACAGATGACACCTATACATTGATGAATGAAACTTGTATCTGTAGAATTCAACAGGTGACACCTACACATTGATGAATGGGCTTGTATCTGTAGACTTTAACATATGACACATATATATTGATAAATGAACTTGTATTTGTAGAATTCAACAGATGACACCTACACATTGATGAATGAAACTTGTATCTGCAGAATTCAACAGATGACACCTACACATTGATGAATGAAACTAGTATCTGTAGAATTCAACATATGACACCTATACATTGATGAATGGACTTGTATCTGTAGAATTCACCAGATGACACATATACATCGATGAATGGACTTGTATCTGTAGAATTCACCATATGACACCTGTACATTGATGAATGACCTGTTGTTCCGTTATATATTTTTCCTGATTACAGAGCTGGTTGGGTAGTTGGTGTCGTTATTGGAAGCTTGGTGTTTGTCTGCATTATCATTGTCATCATTGTATGCTGTGTTTGTAAGAAGTCCGTGGCTAAAGGCATATTTATTCGACCTGTGGAGACCGCAGAGAGAGACGCTTATGGCCTCAGTAAGTATACTTCAAGTTCCTGTGTTATTCGGACACTTTATGTCGCAACATAGTTCAAACATTGTCAGAAATGCTACACGTTTGTAAATTATATCTTACTTTGTAAAATATTTTCGTAAGGTTTTCTAAATTCCCATCACAATAACACTCAATCGATAGAAAGACTTTGTGTGCAGTATTATTAGATTATTATTAACAGTAATTAATTTAAGTTTGTTTATGTTACTTAGACAAAAGTGTATACCATGTGGGTCATATGCATCACCATCATCACCATCATCACCACGATCTTCAAGGAGGTGTCCACTATGATGTCAACGGTCACCCTATTCGGCCTAATGAGATCAACATGCCTAGCCATACACAAAACAATGGTGGAAGTCAGAACTTCCAAATTCCTTCCATTTCCGTGTCACATCACTCCCCTGAAACGTCAGTGGACAAAACGTTGATATCAAGTGATCGGGAAGCTCAAGGATAGAACAACCACTCACCAACAGTGTCAAATATCTCTACTGAAACCATCCTACCAAAATATCCATAGCATGATGGCTGATAAGTTTACTTCAACTGGCAAAGTTTCTTATAACGAGTGTTAAATGTGGACATGTGTTATGTTGTAGAAGTCAATAATCTTATACATGTAACATAGAGGATTTTCGTTTAGAAATATTGTGAAATATGATGCATGCGCTGTATCGAGGGTTATTGCTCCCAAATAACCTTACGAGATAAAATATTTCTAAACAGACTTCTGTGTTATGGAGCAGTCGTGCCAGTTTGAAACAGAGATTTAAAAGGACTGTGATTTAAGTGTGATACTAGCAGTCACATATGTTGATAATCCGATGAGCACTGTTAAATATGGTTTGTCGTGCTTTAGTGAATTTCTTTATCCAACATATAGGTTATTTTCATGTTGTCTTTAACCTTAAACATGCTCCATTCAGATTACTTCTATTGTGGTTGTAAAATTTGATGTGTATAGATCTAGGATAGATATAATGCAAAAAATAAATGTAAGCATTGGATTTTACTGAAATGAAACTCCAGAGATAAACAGACTCGTTAGATATTGAATATATTTGACAAATGAGACAGGTTATATGTTAGGTGCCTGTTTCACTGTTACTATCAGCGAATTGTTGAATTAAACTTTTGATACTAGTACTGAATTTCCGAGTCCCATTGACATATGTCAGTTAATCATTGATGTAATGTTAGGATTGGGATATGGTGACCTATTTATAGTGAATTACAGTAGAACATTTTAACATGATGACATTTTATATGAATAGTACTGATTTACTCTTGATATTTATTCTGTTTACTTTGCTTTTTGTATGTAATCGTTGTACATATATGACTCTTCATCATTTCACTATATAGATATATGTAATTGTGCCAAGCTCTTATAACTCAGGTTGTTTACGTTGTAATTATGTAGTATGAAGTGGAAACAAGGATAGAAACATAACATTGAACCATTGACATTTGCATGTATATGAATATTATAAGGTAGTGATAATGGAGGTTCTAACAACAATGGATGAATATAAGGTTCCCGTTGATTAGTTTACGTCAGATGACAGACTTTGTAACGGTTTTGGTTTGTGCTGCTACGTCCTCGCAACGGATCGGGTATAATTATATCAGGACAGCATGGACATGTGGCACTCATGCCTGACTTTTTAAAATGAACATTGTCACTTTAACCGTAACATTTTTCTAAAAATATGTATTCATATTAATAGTGTAATTCTTAACATTACATATCACGTATGAAACTGTATACAAGGATTGTACAAAAGACACACACGTGGATATCACCTTTAATACAAATCTGGAGCGAGATACAATAGAAGAAAATACTGCTGATACGTGCTTCTTTGACTCGTCAGTGATGCCTAAATTCTGCAGCGTAGGGAAGGCGGCTGAGGAAAATCCAAAGTGATTTAAAGAAAAGCTAAAATCTAGACGGGGAGGTAATCTAGCCCTATAATGTAGCTTTATACACCTTACAGCTTACAACACAGATATTGGTGTATAAGGAGACGATTCCCGTTTACTATGCTGTGTATAATACCGTGATAATTGAATGGCTTTAATGCCATATACATTTTTTGTAGTCCTGTCATTTTATTTAGATAATATCTGGTGTCTAATAGCTTTAAAATGTATGTTACCTTTAGACCGACCACACTTTATATATATATGTAGATGTTGTTGACACTCAATGTTTGTAATAAGGGAGATAATCTTTATAACTTTTACAGTATTCCGCGCTTGATGTGACCATTGTTCTATTTGTTGTTCTAAGTACGATATCTGGAAAAAAATACATAAATAATTAAAATAAACGATTACAGGTGATATAAAACAATTATCAATACTACATTCTCTCTCTCTCTCTCTCTCTCTCTCTCCCTCTCTCTCTCTCTCTCTCTCTCTCTCTCTATCTATATATATATATATATATATATATATATATATATATATGTACAATAACCTTGCGGTATGACATGATTTATAAATTAATGATAAATCAACTATAAGTAATAAATATAGATGAATAATCACACGAACGTTTTAAAATACTCCAAATTGTTTTTGTTTCCGTTCGTCTTGTTACCAAAGATTGGCTTAGGGCTTTCATCGTAGCCGAACAACTGACAGTCTTGTCGGACTAATTCCCGTATAGTTATGAGGTCGTTTAAGGGCACGAGGCTGTACGCCTCAATAACAGCTTCTATTTTCTGGTATTTCACCGCGGATTTGTCTATTGTAGAATTAATTGCTGCACCAACAGCGCTCTGGAAGCGTTCTAAAGTTACACCTGCGGCTTCAAACTTCGTAAACGGAATTCGCACATACTTAGGAATAATTCCCTGAATTTGAAGACCAATCCAAGTTCGTTTCATCCCTTCATAAAATGATACACACTCTTCGATCCCAGTTTTCATACCGTATAGCCGTTTAGAGTAGAACATTGCTCGTTCGTAAGCTGTCTCGGATTCGAAATCACTAAATGTAACGTTGGTATCATATATCTTATTCCAAGCTGTATACAACATAGTAAAATCGTTCTTAAAAGTTTCTATTTTACCAATGAAATCATATGAAATATCACACGGTTTACAGTGTTCACTTATAGATGTAAAATGGCGATTTTTGTGGTCCCCAGTTTGTTCCCCATACACCACATACCTAAGGAAATCCGGAAAAGACAGTCTGTTTCCACATGTTACATCCACATCATGTAGCATGTTATACGCAAACCTGCCTATCGTCCTCCAAAACAGTGTGTTTGGCATGAAGAACTTGTCCACGTATCCTGATACTAGTCGCCCATAAGGCTCTCTGACGAACATGAATTTAAAAGATTTCATGACAGCTTGGTGAAAATCTGTCATCCCGATATTTGTAAAGTCAGATACAACAGAAAGTTTTTTAGACTTAAGTAAACCTCTCGCAGAAATATTTTTCTCTTTCTTAATATTCCCTGGCATTTTGACTTTTTCGAGTTTTCTCAGAAAATTAACAATAAATTTTGAGCCAATTTTCTCTACCCGACAAAACAACACATGGTGGTTACGATCTAGCAAAAAGTTCCTTTTAACAGTGTCATTGCCAAAGCCATTCATATAGGAGTGGGGGTCCTTTATTCTGTGACAGACCGAGGTCAGATGACGTTTCCTCTTCACATGTACGACGTCGAAGTGATACAAGCGTAGATGTTCCTGGCGACAAATACAGTAAATATTGTCAATGGGTCATTCTGAATATCATGTTTAAAAGGCATATTCTTTATCTTATTTGATAACTTAAACTCAGTTTTCTTTCCGCCTTTCTGTTTGATTATGTTTTAAATGGATGGTGTATATATTCGAATAACGTGTGTAGTACAATCACACAATCAAATATAATGATTTTTCTCGTCCCATTTAGATGTTTTTTTCCGTAATACACTTTACGCGTGTACAATAAGACACATAAAACACACCAAAAAATACCAACATGGCAACATAATCATAATCTAAACTCATATTCCATAAAACTAGGGCAAAATTTGAACAGAGGAAAGATTTACACGGAGACTCCTGAAAAAGGACAAGGAGACTTAGGCCATGTGTTTCGGGAGAGTAGGCGTCTTCTGCCTCACCGACAACACCTTGGTCAATCCAAGAAAACAATGACACGTTTTCAAATGAAAACAATGTGTACAACAACGGAACCAACAGGCAAACTAACGAGCATCAAATACGTCCAGCTTCATGTCGCACAAAGTAATAGAATATTTCTCCATGATATCACTATGGCGACCATAAAACATACGACGTAATCATTACCATAAAGCGGAAATTTCTACATAATACTGGACACCGATATAATGAGATAATGATCAGATGTCTTGTTAGGACTTACCACAGCTGGCTGTTTAGATGTATAAGGGTACCATCTCCATTTGTCATTAGGAAATAGCGATCTTATCACATGTGCTGGAAAATGCTCTGTAGAAACATCAAACAACAAAGTAACACATATACCTCTTTATAATGAAGCTTTTAAGCAACAATTACACGTAATTCACAAAAGCAAGTGCATTAACGTGCTAATAGTAAACTGATATATTTTGTTTACAATGATCATTAAATGAAAATGTTTGACGGAATCACTATTTAATTTAATATCAATCTCAGTATAGGTATAATCGGACTTATTCTGTTAACACTGATTTATTTTACATCTACTATAAAAATATGAGAACGTTAGTTGTTTATGTTACCTCGTAAAATGTAGAAAGCAGTCCCCATCAATGTCAGTACAAGTAAAGCACACCAATGGAATTTTGTGACGTACAAATGACCAAGCCTCCGGAATATCAACATCTTGTCGATTTTTGTCACAAAACAGAATGATGACTTAGCTACAGAAAAGTGCAGACTCTATACACAAAACACAAACATGTTATTTTCATAAAACGAGCCTTTTGAGAATAGCCACAAAAACAAATGTTGCTTGATATTGTTTGTATTTAATGATCTACTATTGAAATCATACCCAACAGCCGGTTATCTCATTGATGATGTAGTCAATGGGATGACAGTCTTGTAACACGTGATGCCTTTAAGACACATCGATATTCAATATTACCAGTACAACATCCGTACATTGTATATAATTGTTTTATTTACTAATATATTCGATAGATGAAGCAGAAGGTGTCGTATTGTTTAAACAAACAATTGTTTAGAATGTGAAATATTTCCTCTAAGATCTGTAAAGATCTCGGACATATTCGGAATGACCGCCGATGAGGCTTAACATAATATCTTACAGTGTTTAACAAACACAAAACCAATAAACTAACATTCGATTATTGACAGGAACAATGTTCATATGAGTTTGGATATCAATAAATAAATCAATCCTAGGGTCATGATGATTACTTATACGTCATTCCAAAGAGATCACACAGTGTACGTCAAACATATAACAGACACCTCACAATCTGTAGTATACTAACAAAGACTTTATGACTATCGAAGGTTTTTCTTTGTCTGACATCTTTTCGGATTAATGTGGTTGAGAACGCGTATTCTTGAACTCATCCTGAATGGTTGAAGCTTTCACGTTGGAGTAGTTTCCCTTAGACTATGTTTGGATCATAAAGCGAGACTTTAGGTGTTACTTTTACGGCGCTGACGGCGATAATTTTACGTTGCGATAGATAAAAGAGTAAATACCTCATCACTTCCCACATTTACGAAATATATCATACATTACACGGTCCAGCAACTTTGAAACTTACTGATAAGCTGGACTTCAACGTTTTTGTGTTTAGCTCAGTTTCTCACAAAATGCATGTGTTATTCCAAACAATCTTGGAATATACACGAACTTACATTGAAGTAACGGCACCTAAACCGCAGATTCATATTCATTTCATTTTCAGTATATTTTCGAGAATTTTAGTTTTTTTTTCCAAAAATGACCATAAAGTCTGTGTTAATTCTTATGTTTACTTCAGATTTAGTTTATAGTCATATTGTTGATACATGTATACTGTCAGATAATGGACGAGTTTGTGTTCATCTCCCTCCTTAAATAAATGTTGAATTGGATTCTGTGTTTTGATATGAAATTAATATCTTAACAATAAACCCCAAATAAATACGTGTTATCTTTGTTTTTATTTATAAAAGGACATAAAATATGATACATCATGTCACTTTTACGTTGTAACCTATTGATGCAAAAGAAGGTATAGAATGGTAATTGTTTTATGAACGTCAGTGCAATTATAAACATTTCCCGTCAGAGAAGTACTTCTAAATTATCGTGATAAAATTTTCTACAGTAAATGACAAAAAAATAAAAAAAAAAAAAAAAGATGGAGTAGGGAATTCCAGCAAGAAAAAAAATACTTCTAAATCATTAAAATAAAGTTTTCTATAGTAAATGACAGAAAAAAGATGTAGTAGGGATTTGCCCGTCAGAACAAACAAAACACAAAATATGCAGTAGGGGTTTTGTAAGTATAACAACAAATCAAGAAATCATTAAATCACATTACATTTCATAAACAATACATCAAAGCCAGAACCAAGTCATGATTCACGGGGATGCTTTTTATGTTTAATTTGTTTTATATCAATGAACTGTTCCAGGACTGCACCAATAAATGCTTTATACACAAATAATGTTCAAAAGATAGATCACACTTAAAACTTCTTCGAAGGGAATGTAACTATGAGTGATTGGTTATTGGTTGGCTCATAGTAGGAAGCATACAAATTTTACTGTGCTATACTTTTAAGACACACCTTTCAAACCTCTATATTTTTAAGACATGCCTTTCAAACCTCCCTTTTATTGCAAAGACCCCACTGACTTGCACTATTTCATAATGAAGCGTAAACTTATAGCATTTCAAAAATCAATTTGACTTATTAAATTTCACCAAACCTTAATTGTAGACGTTAATTTGGGTCAGAATGAATCCTTAGTTGACATCATGTTGATTAACGTTCATCATTTATGTTCAGTGTGACTACATTGATTTTAAAATGACTTCGCCAGTTGTTGTTTTGTTCACATACATGTATATAAAACAATTAATCAGCTCGTAAAGAAACTAAATACACGTGTTGACAGAGTTGTTCTATGGGTGGGGAAAAGCCACAGTAATATTCGTTCCTTCATGTTTAATAATTAAACAGTCTTCCGCCATTCAATCTACCTATAGCCATTTACAATCTGACACAACTACCCATCTTCACCATTACTGCTACCCATCTGATGACGTCAGGTAATCACGGCAAACGACGTGGAAAAATATAACAGAAAGGTTGTGTAATACATTTTTATAGGTTTTGTACAAATGTAGAAGAAGTTACGAAATAAAAAAAAATATGTCCGACTTAAGGTCATTACTGACTGAGGGAAATGAACATATTTAGAAGAATTTCTAACCATCCAATAAAGAAAAGGAATTGCTATGAAAAATATCGGTCTTCCAGTCTATATATACACATATCGAACTATGATCAAAAATAATCATTTGTATTGATTTCTTGTGAGCATTGATTCGTTTGTTTGTTTATCTAATGAAACATTACAGAGACGTTTAACTTAGCATGCTGTCATATATTACAAAAAAGAGTTGTCTTTCTTTACCCACGTATTCGCAATGCATCTAATAACAAATGTTAAATATTCTAATATTATGTCAGATTTGTATAATGACATAACTTATACAACTCTATCAATTGAAGATTGTGCTTAACATGGTACTTCTTCTCTGCTCACTTCATCATAAGTTGAATATTTTTAGAATAAATCAATCAGTTTTAAAAACGCTATAGAATTAAGGCGTTAATGCTCCTATATAAATTGATTTAGACATTACCTTTGGCCAATTATTTTCGTCTGTTGCTCGCTATGTTTCAAATTTTTAGGCCTCAAATATCAATAACGAATCCTACAAAGAAGAAACATCGCTATTCTGCAATTTGTCGTATCCACGTTATACAATTCGTCTACAAAGAAAACATTAAAGTTTATGGGAAAGTTGAAGTGGAATTTGACGGTGTTAATATCTGGAACGCAGTACATTGTATATATGGCTGTATGGATGTATGACGTAATCATGTGGATAATCCGGATAATCCGATGTTGTACAATTGATAAACACATTCTGATCCAGGACTTCCATCTTTGGACAAACTGATTCCTTGGGAGCTATTATAGAGTACATATAAGAAAAGCGAGGGAACTACATGTAATATCGCCAATACTACGAGTTAATAATTAATAAGCTCGGAATCTTCAACCTTGTCTTGACCTCTTTAAAAGCGAGATTTTTAACATAAAATATAATTCATATGATCTTTATGATAAAAGAAAAACAAAATAAGTTTCAAATTTGCCTTCAAGAGTAATATAACCTTTCATCAGATAAATTCACTTGTTTTAAAATAGTACAATGATTGCCCTGGGCACAGAAGTTGTGTACTGTGGTATGTGTAGTTACTGGTATAGAATGTGTGTACTGTGGTAGGTGTAGTGTGTACTGTGGTATGAGTATAGAATGTGTGTACTGTGGTATGTGTAGTTACTGGTATAGAATGTGTGAACTGTG